GAAACTGTAACTCTGTAAACATCATCTATCATGATTCGCTTCTAGATGGATAATAAGACATTCCTGCCTTGGTTTCAGTGAAGCTTCAGCTGTAGGTTCAAAGGTCGCTTCATTTCATGATCAGGTGTGGCTTTACGAGCTGTTTGCTTAGTTTGAATAGTTTCTTAATGTGTTTGCTGGTCAAACTGGAGGAGCAGTTTGTTTGATTTTAGTGGTAAGAATTAGCTTTTTGTTGGAGATGATTTAACTTACTAAAACTGACAAACTGATGTCAAAATTAGATAAAGTAATGATTAAATCTGAATCTAGATTTTAAACACAAACCTTGGGATTGAAGATGCTGCTGTAAAAAGAAATAATCTGTTTCTGTTTCAAACTGTTCCTTTTCCTGTAAAGTCATGGAAAGTGATTCCTACTAAATTACACTGTAAACTCCAATTTGTTCACTGACATTTATTGCCCACTCCACCCTTTAGATGTCAGTGGGCAGAAATATAATGGAAGAGTTCAACGTCTGATTGAGTCACATGTCCATATTAAATCTCAAAATAACTTCTAGGAAAGAGAAACTTAAGCAGTTTCTATTCCTGACAGGTAAAATGTCTCACAGAGAAACTCAGCTGGAGAAACTCTCTTGTTTCATCTGTTTGGATCTATTTAAGAATTCACCTCTGATCTCACTGTAATGTTTCTGGACTAAAGAAACAACACGATGGTCCTGCTTGTAAATGTGCAAGATGCAAACTGTCTCTTTAAAAGAACAAATTTTGGTGTCACTTTACCGTTTCTTGAATCAGCTGTAAGCTTTCCCAGCCAGAGTAACTCCTGTCATTCCTCATGGTTAACACAGCAGACTAAAAAACAATCAGTTTAATCAAATTGTAAGGTCATAGTCATTTTTGAAGCACATTTCCAATAACTCATGCTGGGCAAAGTGCTTTGCAAACCAAAATGCAATTAAGGTACACAACAAAGATGCAAGTAAAATATAAAAACAAATTAAAAAGCAAAACATGAAGACATTTAAAACAGTTCAAACTGGAGTTAAATGAAAATGTTTAAGCTTCTTCTAAAAGCCAGAAGGGTTATTAAAATTAATCTTCAAACTTTGAAAATTTAACTTCCTTCAATGTTTGTGCAGATTCAGTTTCAGAGTTAAAGTTCTGCTTATGTTTCAATCAGTCTAGTAATAAAGAGAGTTAAAACTGGCATCTTTCAGGAATAAGTTTAGGTAATTATTAAAATTCAAGAAGTCCATCTTATGAAACAGAACCCACATTTATGTGAAGCAACTTCTGGAGCAAAATTTAAAAAACACAGTCTGGATCAGGAAAGATCAATGTAAGATCCATTGATTATTTATTTAAAACAGGAGATAACGGCTATTGGTTTAATGATATGTAATAAAGGTTATGATGAAAGATAGCCTGGTAAAAGCCAGTCCTGCACTTTGTTTTGTTTGGACCCTCGGCTGTTGAGAAACAGTTGCTTTCTGGAGGCATCGACTTTGTTGAAGTTTGAAACGATTGGATCTGAATTTACCCAATACTAACGTTTAACCATGATGTAACACACCAGCTGGACCATGAAGGAAGCTACGTTA